CACAAACAAAAGATATTATCTGTGTTAGCGTCACAGTGTAACTCAGAGACAGCCCCAAGGAAGAATTTTCTGAAAGAGTTGTTGAAGAATTGTGTTCATGGTGAAGGGTGTCAGATAATAGAAGGTGCAAAAACCCTCTTTGAAATTTGATGGGATTTTCAACCCCTTGGGCAAAGTATGGAATTTTTCAAAGAAAAAGTATTTGGACAAGATGACGGACCATTTAATGTTCTTAGATTTTAGTCCTTTCCATTTCAAGCCTGGTCTTAGAGCAAAGGTTTACAAACAGCTTGCTCATGAAATGACCTCAGGTGCCTTCTGAGAGAGAAATGGGGAAGGCCTGAAATCAGTGCCTGAGGCAAAAAAAAATCACTTATAATCAAGATTATCCTTGCAAAGCACACATATAATATACTAAGCTCAACCATCAACAGTTAGCCAAGAGAATTGAACGCAGGTCCCGAAAAGTTATTTTTACACCATGTTCCTCGCAGTGTTATTCACAATAGCCAAAAGGAGGGAGCAACCCAAAAGTCCATGGACACATGGATGGATAAACAGAATGTGGTATGTACATACAACGCTATATTACTCAGCCTTAAAAAGGAAGAAAATTCTGACATGTACTGTAATATGGATGAACCTTGAGGACATTAGACTAAGTGAAATAAACCAGACACAAAAGGACAAACACTGTATGATTTCACTCACATGCGCTTCCTATAGTAGTCAAATTCATAGAGACAGAAAGAATGGTGGTTACCAGGGCTGCAGAAAGAGTGAATGGGGAGCTATTGTTTAAGGGGTATAGAGTTCAGTTTTGTAAGATGAAAAGAGCTCTGGAGATTGGTTAAATAACAGTGTGAATGTCCTTGACATACCTGAACTGTGCACTTTAAAATGGTCAAGAATGTAAGTTTTATGTGTATTTCACCCCAGTTAAGAAAAGTCAGCAATTAGCTTCTTGTGTTGTCTTTGTGGATTTAACTTGTGGAAATTTCAACTACAAGCACATCCCCCTTATTTAGCCCTGGATTTCCCACCTCCCTTCCCATTCAAACCAGACTTTTGCCTCTGGAGTCCCCAGAGAAGAAGATGAACTCTCTCTTTTTCCCCTGTGGCTGAGCACCTATATTTAAAGTCATATGCAAGATGGAGCTCTACCAACTCTCTCATTCTTTTCTTAGTAATCATACTGCATAGTTGAAGAAATGAAGGTACTGAAGGTACTTCTTAGAAGCAGGAAGAAGGGTTTGGCCCTGGGCTAAACATGGCACTTAGATGTCACGGAAAATACTCTGTGCATGAACTGATTTAGTAGACTGGGAGAGCTCTATATTTCTTTTTTTGAGCCATCAATGCCCACAAAAAATATATATTTGCACTAACTCAGAATATATGATGTTTGGGGCAGAGATGAATGAAAGTTGCATTGGAATTGCCCACAGTGAGGGGTTTCTAGGCAATATAGCAGTAATGACGTCAGCAAAAAGGCAGAGAGTTCTGATCAATCCTGGAGAACTCTAATCCTGATTGTTATAAATTCTGGTTCACAAACAATTAATATCCATCATCTTGATAGAGAAATAAATCCTTTATACCCCTAAAGAATACTTTTAGGCAATAAATTATTAGCTCCATTTAATATACACACAGTTATATACAGTTGAAAGAAAATAGCTTCAGACGTTGTGCATGTTTGTATCTCCTCAAAGCACACAGCAGTGCTTTGCCCACAGGAAGCAGTCAATAAATGGTTATTGAATTCAGAATGCCCTTCCCAATCAGTGAGGTTTAATATATTTCCAATTCAGAATGCCTATTAATTTTTCAGCATTAGTAAGCCTTTTAAAAAAATCTATTTTGGGATGTGTTTAAGAGTTCACAGCAAATACTATTCTAAAAATGATTAAGAGAATACTGTTCAATGAAGCATGCTTATTCAACACACCGGTAGCCATTGATAAAATGTAGTTTAATCATTTAAATTTACATTGTTAATGTACAAGAGCATTTCTTTCAAACCACAGGTTAACACACACTAAAGAGCAATGCTGTTAGAAGAGCAGAGAAACTTTGGAAAACTCTGCTGTCTGAAATGAAAGGCAAGGCACTCTCCATTAACAGCTGGTGGATTCCTGATTTCTGCCCACAGAAGGCGTGTTCACACTGAGAGAGCTCTCCCACAAGGAAGAATCACCTGCTTTAATTCTTGCTGTCCTCTTCTGAGCTAGTTTGGTCATCCACTCTGTATAAACTTGTGTGTCAACATCAAGACAAAAAAAGGGAGTTGAATTGATGGATTATGTGGGAAGCTCTCATAGTTATTACAACTATGGAAGACGGAAGAACATTGGCTATAACCATTATTTTCAGCACTAGCGTCTAGACCTATAACTAAAAACCTTCATTCATTTCAACCAATCAATATTACGGCTAAAAAGTCTTTTCCTTAAATCTGATGGGTGTAAAAATAAAAAGTAACAGCATTTCTCCAGGGCTCTGGTTTTTCTGTTTGTTTTGTTTTTCTCTTATGGATATGACAAAAAACAAGGATTAACTTTCCAATACCAATGGTGCACAAAAGGGTTATGTATGCACAGCATTTCTAATTTATTCAAATTCAATCTGAATTTGATCTGAAGCTACCTTGTATGAAATGTTAGCTTTCCTGATATTTAATAATGTTTATTATGTTTGCATATAAGCTCAAAAAATTAATGCAAAAGTACTACTTTCCTCATGGTCATCAGGTAAAATGTAAATGGTCGTGGTTATTTTTAAAAGCCTATTTTCCTATAGATGTAGTAAGTTGAGTAAAAACACTATGGAAAAGAGAACCAGGTCCTAGTCTTGGTTCTGGTCCAACCAGCCTGTTGGATCTTGGGTAATCTTTACTCTTCGCTGGGCCCCTGTTTTCTCCTGTATGGGTTTCAGAGGGGTGGGGGACCAGTCCACAAGTCAGGCCCCTGCCAAGTCTAACATTCCAAGATCCTAACATTGCAGACCCCATCACCTGGATATAAAAATAATAATCTTTTATAAAAGCTCACACAAACATAATACATGATCAAATATCAGAATGACCGTTGGAAAAAAAAAAACCATATATGCTTTGCTATCTGGGTTATCCTTTGCAGCAATTAGGCAATTCATTTGGCATTTGTTTGATTGTATAATTTAATGACAATATAAACAGCATAGTTCTGTTCTTTCTTCTTTAAAAAGACTAAAGCAAAATGATTTAAAGCTAACAAAAACTACTGTGACATCAGTTTGACATTCAAAGTTTGTTTCTTAGCAAAATGGCCAAAGATATTTTGACTTGATACAGAGTATATAATATAAAGACTTTTCGACCTAAAAATCTTCAAACATTATTCGAATTTAGCAAAACATAAGCAAAATTTTAATATCAAAGTGCTAAACAGTACTGCCTTAAAAGTCACTGCAAATGAACCATAAAATAACTGCATGGGAAGTAACATTTATTGTACAAATGGTTAATAAAAAGACACATTATAAATATATATATGTAACCTGCTATATTTATATATATATTTGTTTATTTAATTTCTAATAGGTGTATCCAAGTCGCTGTGAACACCCCATTTAAGTACTCTAACTCAGTTTCCAGGAGCTGGTGGTCTTGCAATAAATACAGGCAAAGCTATTACAATATAACGTGCATACAAATGTTTGTACAAATAAGGACACTATGCAACAAATTATCTCGTAGTAATATGGCATTGACAGTATAAACATACAAAAGGGAGTACGAACACGGAATGTTGAAACGCAGCCCACTAATCCTGTCTAGTAGTCACATTCATACTATAATTTTTTTTAAAATAAGACTCACTTGCTCTCCAAAATTGTCTCTGTAACCAGTAACAAAAATTAAATTATATATATTTAAAAAATCTTATTATCTCTGATGTTTACCCTGTATGATCAGTTCCTACTTATTTGTATGTTCTTATTTACGGATCAGACATGTGAGACTCACTGAATGCTCCTGGGGCTTCTGAACGAATGTGTCAGCTAGTTGCTATCAACTGGAACAAGTTTAGGGAACTCTGTCTCGGTTGATAGAGCACAACCAACACAGTTGTATGCAATCCATTTTATAATCTGAGCCCCCTTTGGGACAGCTGGACAGTCAGGGCAGAGATCTGGATCCATTAAGAATTGCCTAAAATCTTGGACGGACCATACCTCAGAAGGGTTCTATAGGGCAGGTGGACAAAGCCTCTGCTAGGAAAATTAACATGTGTCACTTGCCAGCATGACTGCTTCCTTTTTATTTCCATATAAAATAAAGGAGAGTTAATAAACAAGACTTAGTAAGACAGCACTTTAAAAATTGCACTTGTATATGGAAGCGAACAGCCATTATCGTTTTGCTATGTCTGATTTATAGGTAATCCTCATCTTTCACCATTTGTTAAAATAAAATAAAGGAAGAAAGAAATTAAGAAGAGAGAATTTCTGCCTTGTTTGCACCACATACATACCCTTGACACAGGAAGTGTATTCTAAAGATCAACCTCAAGACACATCCTACTCTGGCGAACAACCATCGGCTGTTCTTGTTTTTAAATACAAAGCAACTATAATTGTATTCCCCAGAAAGAGTTTTAAAACAGTTATATTATCCTTTTTTTTTTTTTTTCCTGCTGGGATAGCATCGTCCAAAAGTGCTTTGTTAGCAATTTCTTAGAAAACCCTCATGAACTATACCCTCCCCTCCCGCGCCAACCCCAAAGCCTAAATATAAAACACAACCCCAACACAATACTCTGCAAGTTTTCTGGCTTTAGGTTGTAAGGAAAAGTGCCAGAAAAAAAAAAAAGTCTTTTCTACAGGAGCTGCTTTTTTTTTTTTTTTCTCTTAAGCAAGGACAGAAAATGGTAGGTGTCCAGACCCAAATCCTCTGCTGCTTAGCAAGTCGGAGGCGCTAGCCAATGAGGCGGCTCCCCCCCTCAGGCTGCTCCTGTTCAGAAAGGCAGGGTGTCCAGGAAGAGCTTGTCGATGATGGAAGGTGGAGACACCAAGTCTTCCAGCTTCAGGTAGAAGATGCGCTGGAGGCCCAGGGTACAGATCTTTCTCAGTTCTACCAGAGCGCCCAGGACCTTGGGCTCGCTGGGCTCCACAGCCTGTCCCTTACTCTGGTGGTCTTTCAAGCTGCTTGTGATCTTGTTGCATAGCTCCTCTACTCTCTTTGGTTCTTTTAACCCATGTCGTTCTGCAGAACAATGGAAAAGGGGCAAGTTTGGAAGGCAGTTACATCTTTTATTTAAAAAAAAAAAAAAATCTTTTTAAAGTTTGTTTGTCTACAGAGAACATGCACGAGCAGCAGAGGACCAGAAAGAATCCCAAGCAGGCTCCGTAGCCCAATGTGGGGCTCAAACTCACGAACCGAACCGTGAGATCACGGCCTAAGCCGAAGTCGAGGGTCGGACACTTAACTGACTGAGCTGCCCAGGTGCCCCAGGAGGCAGTCACATCTTAAGAGACTTTGAATCCCTAATGGAAGCCCGCATCTTGTTCCTCCAGTTGGGATGGCATTTTACAATGCAAGCACCTCCCTCTTGGAGGGAACTCGTGGCCTTTGGACTCCAATGGCACCAGGGTTTGCATCCCAGTCCTGCCACTTCTTCACTGTGTGCCCCTGAGTTAGCCTCTTGATTTTTGAGCCCCAGTGTCCTTATGAGATGAAGATAATAATCGTCCCTAATTTCGGGTTTCTGGGAGGACCCACTTAGGTGAACTATGCACACAGTTCCTGGCACATAGTCACACTGAGTGAATGACAGAGTGGTTATTATTTTGCATACATACGAAAGCCTTGTCAGGAAGCAACTCTTTAGAGTGACAAAGAAACACGTCCAGGCAAATGAATTAATGTTCTCATCTTGACAGATGGGGAAAGGGGCTCGGTCAGTTCCATTTGCTAGGAACAAGGGTAGCAAGGGCTACCCCCCCCAAGACCCAGCATAAAGCACATTCTTCATGTTTTCATGCACATGCTTTCATGCTAACCAGCACTGAGAAGAATCCAGCTTTTCTTTTCCTTTTTTTTTTGCACCCCCCCTTGAAACACCTATTGACCGACACCAGGCACTCTGTACAAAATACACATGTCTTCCTGCTGTGGAGATGGAAAAGTCAAAGAGAAGGGAAAAGGCCCAGAAACAGGCACGGTGGCATTCTACAATGTAGCAATACATGAACACCAGTATCTTATATTTTATAAAACAATACATAAAATGATCCCCATGTTGAATATTATGATCCCCCAATTTATTTTAAGGTTAAGTGATAAACCTTAACTGCTAAACTGATCTGAACTCAGTTTTCTGAGGCAGATTTTGTCCTCTTGCCCCAGAACAATGTTGCATCTCTAATCAGAAAGGAGCCTGCCATCCAGTACAAATCACTTTGCTCTCCCTCAGCATTTAGATACCAGAGCCTCTTTCCTGAGAGAAGGGCTTGGCCCCAGTTATCTCAGTCAGGGCTTGTATCTCTAAGTATATTTACATGTAAAACAATAATTCTTGTGAGATGGAAGGCATCCTTCCAATGGGAAATCAGGCAACACTGTCTAATTTTTCCTAGGTTTATTTTTTCAGTTGGGGATATAGTTCCAGAATAATTAAGGTATAGCATTATATTAGTTTCAGGTGTACAGAAATGTTCAGTGATTCAACATTTCTACACATTACTCAGTGCTCAGAAGATAAGAAGTTACTCTTAATCCTCAGTTGGGGATATTTTTGTTGGGGAAATTATTTCCTTAAAACAAAAGCCAATCAGCAAAAGGAAGCAATGTCCAGACATTGTTTTCTTCTCTTGCTCTAAACGAAAGGAGGCCCAGGGGCCAGAAGATCTGCATTCTTCCTTGGGTTGGCCTTAGGTTGGCTAGTTGTGTACAACTTGGGTGAGCTCCTCTCTCTCCAAGGCTTATCTTAAAAGGAGGAGGTTGAATTTAATGACCTCTCAGGTCCCTTCCAGCCTGGTGGTTGTAATTATATTAAAGTACAACCATGAAAATTGCTGGTTGGCATCTCAGTTGGATTGTGACTTGTAGGCGTCTCATCTCAGTGCATCATAATATAGAGAAAAGGGCACTGGACGTGCAGTCAGACAGATCTGGATTCTGGTTTTGGTTTTGTTACTTACTAGCCATGTGACCTAATCTCTTTGAAGCTCAACGTCCTTCTAGGAGAATGGGGATTACAGGGCGGTAGACACACAAGTCTTGATTCTATCCTTCATTCCTTTCCGTGTGTCTTTTAAGATTTTTATTTTTACTGAAAAAATTTTTAAAAATTATTATTTTGGAGACGGAGAGTGTGTGTGTGTGCATGCAAATGGGGGATACGGGCAGAGGGAGAGAGAGAATCAATCACGCTTGATGCTCAGTGCTCCACACTCAGCACTGGGATCCCACAACCCTGGGATCATGACCTGAGCCAAAATCAAGAGTCGGACGCTCTTGACTAAGCCACCCAGGTGCCTCTATGACTTCACTTTTAAAGAATCTCTACACCTAATGCAGGGCTGGAACTCAACCCGGAGATCAAGAGTTGCACATTCTACCTACTGAGCCAGCCAGGCTCCCCTTTTCCGTGTGTCTTAAATATTACACAATAAATTAAAAGAAGAAGTGCCATTATAATAAAACCTACTTCCGTGGGTCATTGTGAGGCTTAACTGAGATGATGAAACCCAAAAGTGCTCTGCCAACTGCAGGGTGCTCCATGCGTGGTACCGTCAGCACCTACGATGCTGCGTGACATGTGGCAAGTGGTTGGCAAACACAGGGTCAGACAAAAGGCAGTAAAGTTCCCTACTTCTCAAGGTTTGCAATGCATGATTGCAAACTGTTAGCTAATCAGCCCAGGTGCAAACCTGTCCTCTACGTTTATCTTTACTACATACACATAGTCCCTTTGTTTAGTCTCAAAAGATGCACCCGGGAGTGAACTTGAAGAGAAACTCTTCCTGCAATAGTGTTCTGCCTAGAGTTTTATTTTCCCTCTAAAAGTGAAAAGGCAAGCTGCAAGATTGGCAATAAACTTCAAAAGCTATAAGATGTGCATAGCCTCTGACCAAGTAATCCCACTCTTGGGAATTTATCTGAAGGAAAAATTCAGAAGAATGAAACTGTATGCATGAAGACGTTTGGGGTAGCAGTATCTATTAGAAAAAAAAAAAAACTGGAAAAAGGTAAGGGGTAGAAGAATAGGGAAATTGTTAAGTAAAAAAATGGTATATGCACGTAATGGGAGATTCTGTAGACACCGGAAAGGACAAATATGAAGATTATGAAGCAACGTGGACAAATACAGAATATCACATTAAAGAAAAAATAGAATATAAAATGGTATCTAAGCTGCAATGACATCTAAGCGGAAGTTATTTCTGCATATAGAGAAGGGTGAAAGGAAACAAAATAGTGAGAATATTTATGAGATTATCAGATAACTCCTTTCCTTTCTTTTAAAATTTCCAAGTTAGTGGCATTTACGTTTGAAACAGTGTTAACACAGAACAATCTGCGATTTGGTGGCTCTAGTGGCTGTAACATGATCAAACAGTCATTGTGCTGATAGTAAATTCTATCAATACTGAGCTATATCAAATTAGGTTCATAACCCAGGGAGGGACACTATTCCCAGAATAAAATACCAGTCCGTTGATTTGAACTTCCCCTTCCTTTCAGTGCCCCATGTCTTGAATTATATTCAAGATCCCATATTCATTTTTAGGATAAAGGAATGGAGCAAGGCGTTGGCTGGATTTTGGGAGGGGGTTGATTATGGAACCTTATAACCAGACTTTCTTATGGCCAAACTCACAGAAGGAGCCTCAGAGTTTTCCCTGCTCTCCAACCAGTTGTGGCTGCTCAATAACTATGGCAACCATTATTTATTCAGTGAACTCAAGTGGAGATCGATACCTCCCTGCCAGCTGGATCAACCCTAGGCCTGGAATTCCTTGAGGAATTCAGAGACACTCCTGTTAGAAGCCAAAGGCACCTTCTTTGTTGTTTTGAACAGCTACTGGATTTGTGGCTTCTTTACTTTTTCAAAAGGGCTGAGATAAAATTCGGTCTCCATGCAAACTACTGCCAGCAGCAAGCAAATTTTCAAATCACTAGGGAGTCACTAGGTGTCTGGGACCTTCCTGGTAATCTGAAATTCCTTAAAACCCCAATAACTGACATTTTAGTTTAAGGAACCTTCTTTCTTTTTGCAGCTTGGTAAACATGGCTGCAGCGCTAATAAACAGAGACTTCAATCCTGGGGGAGACTGGACATTTGGACTTCCCCCTTCCTAGAGAATCACATGCATCTTAGTATAAGATCTTTGTCCCCATTAAACACAACAGGGTCTTCAGCACTTCTTGCTTTTTGATCTACATCATTTTTATCCAATACTCCAGTATTTTAACTCACCTTTATGCATTCAAAGCTTTAAACTGCATCTTACAGAAATGGTTAACTAATAGATTTACAAGTTACAGTCATAGTACATATGAGTTGGAAAGGATTTGAATCATTTAGATCACACTCCCACCTAAGACAAGAATCCCCACCACAAGAGATCACAAAGAGAGTGCCCAGAACCAGCTGCGTAATAAAACTAAACCTAGTAGCACTTTATATTTTCCTCTTTTACTTAGATTATTTTATCACACCTCTCAGCATCTTTGTGAATCAGGCAGGACAAAGGTGATCTTTATTTCATAGTTAAGAAGGCTGAGGCTCAGAGAGTTTCATGACTTACTTACAGTCAAAACTAGCAAATGGCTAATTTCTTTTGTTCCAAGTCCAGATGTGTTTCTACTATACCAGGATGCCTTGAACACCATATTAGAATGTTCTTCCTCATCCTGAGGTGAGCTCAGCCCCCCTGAAACTCCTTCCTACTTTCTGTGTACCTAATGAACTAATTAATGAATTACGTCTTTCAACAAATATGTATTAGGTGCTTATTCTGTGCCTAGCAATGTTATAGCCATTGGGGGTAGAGCAGTAACTAAAACAGACAGACAACAGATCATATACTCCTGACCTGTGTGGTGTTAGTATCTAAAGAAACTGTTGGATTCTCATGCAATTTTAGCTGCCCATGCCATAGACATCTCTGCAGAGAGAGGAAACGGAGGGAATTGGAAGAGGAGAGAGAGGAGGAAGGGAGAGGGGAAAGTGAAGGAATGGGAGAGAGGGAAGGGGG